GTACACAATCAGATACACCTGATAACAGGGGGCAGAAGACTACACAAAAAATAATCTTGACTTATCGCATAGTAATAAATTATTAATATTAAAAATGTATTTCTGATTTTTCTTTTTACATATTTTGTTAAAAGACCAAATAAAGACTTCAAACCAAAAAAAAGTAATTTTCTGTTTTGTTTTATTCTTGGAAACGTCTCAGCTTTTCTTTCTCTGTTTTTTAACCTTCATCACTTCTTCCCATCGTCACAACGCCCATACGGCCAAAGAGAACCTGCAAAAAGGAGCTATAAATTAGATAGAATCACACAGAATTATACAGAATTAAACGGCTCATAACTAAAACGCCTCAGTTTGATGCAAAAATAAAGTCCAAACTGTTTCTGACACTAAAAAAACAGGAGCTTTTAGAGGCTGTGTGGAAGATTTTTGGTTGTAAGACGGTGAAAAAATACGATAAATGACTCAAAGTTGAGCCTTTAAAATGTGAAAGTTTGCCCGTTTGTGGATTTTTTTCTGTTTTATTGAACACGGCTTTCTCTGGCTTAACAAAATGAACATCTGAATGGATTCATATGACACATTAGGTGACAAAACTTCTGTTCAAATTTCAGGCAGAACGAATGAAAAACGCGTTTAAACGGCACAGAAGAGAAGCCGGATGCAGATCTGAGGCTGGAGGTCTGTTTCTGTCGATCAGACGCAGGTTTCCTGTGTGTTTCCTTTTACTTTTTTAATTTCCTTACTTTGATTTTAATCACCTACAGTAAATGAGATGGGGTGATTGTTAGAGTTCATTAAATCGGGCTGATCAGTTTGAACTGGACCGACCTGAAAGGCTCTTGATGATATTTGTCATGATTTGGTCATTTATGAACAAAACAGAAATATACATTTCAAATGAATGAGTTAGTTAATTAGTAGAGAATCAGCTGCATTCATTCTCTTCACAGGTTGGTCAGAAACACAGAAAACATCACTTACATTGTTTTAATTTTGTTTAATTTTTCAGGTGACTGATTTTAATTCCAGTTGCAGTTGAAATAT